GTCTGTTAAAACCCGATCAATAATAACTTGCTAAAAATATTCTGCAATCTAAACTGCTTTTAAATTAACAAAAAGTTATAATTTAAAAATTAGCAAATTTGATAGCCCTAATTCAATAAAGCAATTTAGAATGATCTAGTAACACATTCTTATGAAATTTTTGGCAATATGGATATTCTCTGGTTGTGACATAATTAATTTCTTGATCACTTGAAAAATTGTTTTAACTTTAACATAGGATTTTAAGTGAAATACAAATGGCCAGAAATATGGAAGAGCTAGGAATTAGGAGTCAACACAGTTACCAGGCGCCTCACCAAGAAGCTCTTAGACCTTCATCTCTCAGATGACCCAGCAATTAGCAAACACACTATCTAAGGCTGCTATAAGACTGAATATGTTCTCCATAACTACTTACATATTTATTCACTTCTTTCCTTTTCTCTCTTTCCTTCTTTCTGGAGTTCAGAACTGCCTGATTCTATAATTAGTAAGTGGTATAAAACAAAACTTATAAATTATATTCAAACTGTTAAAAAATTAAATTTCAACAAATTTAAAGATCTCTCTGGCTTTTATTAGAGATTCATGAACCAAGCAGCATCTCACCTAAAGATTTAGAAAAGGTGCTCGATGAGCTGAGCAGAGGAGGTGGGCTTCATAGAATCTCCCATATTTTAGAAAACTAGCCCATTTTGAAGTTCAGTTTGATTGCATGGCACCTTGTATGAATGGCACTATTCTGGTTTGGTCTGGTCTGCTGGGCCTACTGCAGGAGCTTAACCAAAACAATGGCCTCCTATACATTTCATTTAGCCATACTAATAAAATACCAACTTTAACATATTTTTTTTACATCTAAGTCCTACTGCTAAAAAAAATTTGAAAATCTCTGGATTAGATGATTCCTAAAGCACCTTGCAACTCTGAAATTCCACATCGCTAAGAGTACTGGAGACATCATAAAGAGATCAAGGTTCCCAATAAGGAAGTAGTAATTACTTTAGGCAGAATATACAGATTAAATGTAGACATTCATGGCACAAGTATTGTTGCAGCTTTGTAAAATGTATTTAAAGATAAAAGGAACATGCGAAAATGAAGGTGGTAGTTGTATTAAAGGTGAGGTATTATAAGTACTTCCCAAACTTCCTGTGCTGTTATTTTGTCATTTTGTTTTTAAAATAAACCAGGAAGGAATAATGGTAGAGTTGAAAGACTAAAAGTTACTAAAATTTAATACCATCTAACGGTCCTAAATATAACTGGTTTCTAATTATAATTCAGCTATCTACCTCAAGGAGAAAGGGAAATTTAAAAATCTGAAATTATGAGATATGATTGCTGATAAATGAGACAAAAGTGAAACAGATGATTACAAAATTGGAAATATGTGGTATCCTTCAAAGTAGGTTCTTGTTTGTTTGTTTTAAACAAAGTTATCTTATTCCAAAAGGAAGAGTATCACTGTTCCAGACTATTGGAATTTCTCTTTTGAAACTGCTTGTAGAGTCTGGTTTATATCCTTTCAAATATACAATTAGATAACTATACTTTCTAGATGGATTTAGTTTAAAGAAACAGACATAAGTGATTAAAAACTTTTCTTGTATGATATGCAACCTGGCTCTTAATGAAACAAAACTTTTATGTTTTGTAATCAAAGCAAATGGTAGTAAGGATGTTCTTCTAAGAATTTTTATTTTTTGAAAAGCCTTACACAAAACAAGGGAAAGAAAACTTTAGGGCTCACCAGATGTGAATATTAATTTAATCAATAATCCATAATGTTCAAGTCTGTATGTTTTTCCCACCTAAATTTCATCAGTAGCATTCCTGGCCGAAGAGGTAAATTCTTTAAAGGAAAAATAGGCATATGTTTATTTAGATAATAATTGTATAATCCTTCTATTAGAAATGTTTCTGCCTTCTTCTAAGTGTACACTCTTTCTTGAGTCAATCTCTCTTGGAGTTCCTTCTCCCTCTCTGAAGGTTCCTTCTCGATCACTCTCGCTTGGGACCTTTCTCTGCTATTTCTTAAATGTTGTGACCTTTAAGCATTCAGTCCTCTCTACCCTCTCTCCTCAGAACAATCTCACGAACTTTCAATGTCTCAATTATTGCCTCCACTGTTAGGGTCTATCTCTTTTCTAGCTCTATACTCATGTACTGTACCTAAGTGCCACCTGGGAGCTCTCCTTGGAGGTCCCACAGGCACCTTCAGCTTTAACTCCTCTCAAACTTGTTTCTCCTACACTCCCCATCTCATCATATGGCATCTGGATCTCCTAGTCACCCAAGCTAGAAACCTGTGCATCTTCGGACCCTTCCTCACCCCATTTCTCTCTACCTCACAGCCTCTAATGCAGTCTAACACTTCTACCCTGGACAACGGCAACAGATTCCTTTCTAAGTGGTTGTTATCTTGGCTCACTTATACCCAACTTTTTTCTGAAAAACCTCTCCCCTTTCCTTAGGATAAAGTTCAAAAACTAAAAAAGACTTACCAGTCCCTTCAGGATCTGAGTCTTTGGGTCTTCTCACGTCTGTGCCCCACAAACTAAGCTTCAAGCTTTCTGTGAGGTCCTTACAAACTGTGCACTTTAAGAACTCCCAGGCTTTGCTTAGCCCATTCTTTCTGACTCAGCCTTTTCCCACCCACCCTCAACCTTGAACTTGGAAACCACCAGCCCCAGGAAGTCTTTCATATATCAAAGTCAGGATAAGGTAGCCCTGCCAAGTGCTCCCTCAGTCACTCACACACTACTTATCTCACTGTACGGTCCTCAACTATATTCTAGTTTGGTTCCCCCACGCTTAACTATGAGCTTCCCTGGACAGGACTGAGCCCAGTTTGCCTACATAAGCAACTCATGTGGTAGGCACCAAACAAGTATTCTTGAATAAATGACAATGTAGAATAGCAGAGGGCAAATTGGA